ATCTCCTGAGGAAGACCTATTCAACTTTTCATGTCATCAATATTGTCTTGCAACAACAATATAAGGCACACAAATTTTTTAAATTTTAGGATTTGGTCTCTTTCTTACTACATGCTGAAAAAAAAAATCAGTTGTTGATGAAACATCATCAAGTTAGATCTACTAGCTCAACCGCTATGCTTGAAGCACATGCCAACATGAATCGAGGCCAAAACCGACGCCATAAGTGTGGAAGGCACGACAAGGGCTCCAACCCTTTTATTATTGGACTCCCTCATCTTAAGAAAGAAGAGTATTATCTGGATGAAGTGACCTGGAATGTTGCAATGGCTGATGAAAATTGCTTGGGCATGGTAGCACAAACAGATGATGTTGTTCCATTTGTAATGCCATTTATTGATAAGAAAATTACAAAACCAGATTGGTTATAAATGGATAACCACGAAAGAGAGGAGAAAGAAAGACTTGAAGAGACGCGCCAAAAGATAGGAGTAATTCTAAATGTAGAGATTCGAGATTTCAAGGGTTAAAAGAGAGGAGTTGATGTTATTCCATTTGTCATGTCATGAATCAATTATTATAATGGTCGAGATTTAGTGAAATGCAAGTAAATGCATAAAAACTAAATGTAGAGACTCGAGATTCCAAGAGTTAAATGTTTATCCTAGTTTATTAATTATGATGTGATTTTAATGAAAGGTAAAATCTGATTAGATAAAATAAATCATGGTAAATAAGTCAGTGTCCAATGTTACTCGGAATTTATTTAGAGTAATACTCACGTAAAGCAAATCAGAGTAGAAAACCGTTTGTATTATAATACTACTCGTTTGCCAATCCCCTCCAACTTTGAACTCCAGCACAGAATATTACAAGAGTTTTAGGTGTAATTGTATGAAGGTATTTAGGTTTATTTAATGGACAAGGATTGTCTGCCCTCCTACTTTCGATGTCCTTCCGTGCCCTTCTGTTTTGTGTTGTCACAGTTAAGCCACGTCAATATTTTATATTGTTTTTTTTATAGAGATAATAAGAGAAAAATAAATAGTAATATAAAATGTTAACGTGACTTAACCATGACCACACAAACAGGAGGGTATAGGAGAGCACCGGAAGTGGGAGGGCAGACAATCCTTGTCCTTATTTAAGTGCCATTTGATTTGACTTGACTTAGAGGTATGTGTGACGCTCTTTTGGCTCACCTTAAGTTTTTTGCTAAAAATTTTGCACCGAGGATCACGTCGATAATGTACACACCTAGTCTGTTGTATTTCTCTTGGACATTTTCGTGTATTTTTGTAAGGAATATTGATAGTCGATCCTTTTTGTGACATTTTTCGAAATTAGTAAAGAAATATTGATAGTCCATGGTAGGTCTGTTTTACAAAGACGCAGTTATAGTTCATGATATTCTTGTTTGTGTTTAGATAATTTGTGCTATTCTATGTTCATAATAAAACATCCTTTCCAATTTAAAATAAAATAAAATAAAGGTGACTTCTGGCTATAAACATAAAAACTCACATTTGATTGATTATTAAAGATGTAATTCTTTTGGTAAATTACGATAAATTAATAAAAAGAAATCATTCAAGGATAACATTGTCTAGACCTCACAGAGTAACTCAAATCTAAACTAAACGGCTTCAAAAACGATCCATTTTTTCGAAATGGTATCATAATCCTTTTACAAAATCCCAAAAGAGAGAAGAAAATCTAGCCGACTACAGATTCAACGACATTGTGACGAGCACCCTTCAGAATTTCATAATTCCCAGCCACTAGGAGGAGGAACAACACCTTCCACCGCGGAAGCAGGGATTTGTGTTGGAGGAATCGAATCCCACTCTCCCCCTACTGCGCCTGCACTCAAACATAAACGAGATAGGGAAGAAACAAATTTGTGTCAGAATAGGTACATGATTGAGAAAACAGATGCATACTTGATAACATGTAATGTGATTAAGCATAAATGTTTCCAACAGCCTGTAGAATCCAAGAAGGATTTTACAATCAAAATGTGATGATTCTACCACAAAATTTACAACACTAAAAAGTTGACAAGTGAAACCTGGTTCTGCGGTCCAGCCAACAACAGGAGCTGCCGGGACACTTGTAGTGGCATCTGTTGGCCAAGGAGCATCAGAAACTTGGGTAGGCCACTGATCAGCCCCGCCAATAACAGGTGCAACATAATCTGCAGTTCCATAATCTGGGATTTGAGGAACATCTTCATCTTCCTTTTCCTTGGCCTCCTCAGGGTCTCTATAGAAGAAAAGATCAACCTGCAAAAAGAAATTTTGGACGATGATTAAAAGTTTACGGACTATATCTTAACAGAGCCCTCAGGTAACTTACAAATAAGGCCGAAAAGCCAAAGCATACAGTTTCAAATTCAAAGGAAACATTATAATTTTTTACTAGTGGTGTTCTGGGCTTACCATGACATCCCACTTATGCCCAGGAAGGAGAGAACCACGCATCTGCAAAACCATCCTTGCTAGGAGCCAGAAAAGACATCCGATGCTGTGTTTACCCTTGTTATTGGCAGGGATGCCAATATCAACATAACGCATAGGGGAATCAGTATCGCAGAAAGCAATGGTTGGTATGTTTCCCAAAGCAGCCTCCTTAATTGGCTGCAGGCACATAACGACTATCAGAACACACTAAGAAAAACAAGCAGATCAAAATTGGGAAATAACTAAGAGAATTATATATAACATATACACAAGCCCTGAATAAAAACATCAACTTAAATATGGCAACAAAGAAGGAACATACAATGCCACTAGAAATAGAATATGATCATCACCTGAGCGTCAGTTCGTGGGTCAGTCAGAATGAGGAGACGGGGCTCATTGAACGACGTCTGGAGCTGATTTGTGAAAGTACCTGGCGTGTGTCTTCCAGCAATAGCATTAGCGCCAGTGTGTTGAGCGAATTTCAGGACAGCCCTCTGACCATAGGGCCTTGCTGATTGTACAATGATATCCTTGGGATTCTCAATCGCAACAATCACCCTGGCAGCCATCTGAAGCTTGTCCCAAGTTTTTCCAAGATTGATAATGTAAATCCCTAAGAACAACCAAAACTAATCACTAAAATGCCAATTCGTTAACTGAAAGCTAGTCCTGAAACGAATCAATGGCTAACGAAACAATACGACGAACAATAACACAGATTAGCACAATATTGCGCTCCACAACCGCATACTAATGCGCTTCACAACCGCTTTATCACACACATGCCAAATTATAGAGCTTCTTGCACAGACAGTCCCGATACACAATCAATTGATATTAAAACCATCTAATTTTCTAAACCCAAGTAAATTGAACCAAATGAATCAGTTCAGATAGTCACAAATGCATATTAATTTGAAAGAAAAATTACAGAAACAAAATGCACCTCAGAAAACAAATAACCCTAGAGCTAAATTATCCAAATAACAGATCTGGCAAAACAAATATAAATTGTCCATCATTTCAAATACAAACAAAATAAAAAAAATCTGATATTTATTTTGATAAATATGCATTTTCCCAGCATCGATACAATTGCAAAAGCAGAAATAAAAACTAAAAATCAGAACTATATCTGAAAAAATGGAAAGAGATGAGAGTGTACCATCATTGCGGCGCTTGAAGACGTATCTTTCCATCTGGAAATCACAGTTTTTGGTACCGAGGTGGACTTCGGCGGCCAACATCATCTGGATGTCAGCCTCCTTCTGAGAGAGCTGACGCGGAGCCGCGGCGGTGGTGGTCGCCATGGTTGCGGTCGACCGAGAGAGATGAGGTCTCTGAAAACCCTAGAGTCCCGCCGGGAGGTTTTGTGAGCGAGAGAGAGTGAACGAGGATGTGAACAGTTTTTTCTTTTTTCGGGATTACTGTGGGCCGAGTTTGTTCGCATTATATATGGGAGAGTGCAAGCGAAAACCCTACGAAAATTAAAATGTTTTCAACGAGATGTAATTTTTTTTAAATAATAAAAATTTATTTAAAAAAAAAACTTTACTCTAATTTACAGTAATAGGATCAACTGACCTAATTCGCAGGCGAAATCACATATGTGAACCTTGTTTTTGCTTCGAAAAATCATTTCAATTAACAACAGTGGCATTGTATAAAAAAAATAGAGCAACTACACAATTGCAAGAGTGGAGCTCTACCAACTAAAGCTATATCCCCCGAGCCAAGTGGAGCATGCATGAAGGAGTCAAATGCTTCTTCTATTCTTTTCCTTGGCGCAACTGGGTCATCCTGGACTTCTTCTTCTATTCTTTTCCTTGGCGCAACTGGGTCATCCTGGACTTCACCAGAGACCTCGTCCATGAAGTAAATCATCACACCTACGATCCAACCAATTGGGAAAGAATCAATATTACTGTGATTCATACAATTTTATTACATTCCGTCCATCTCTTGTTACAAATATATGTAAAAATATTCATTAACTGATTTAAAATTAATTAAAAAAACATATAATAATAAAATAAAGGCTTGCTAGAGGGTGGGTAATAGGATTCTATCTTAATCCTGTTTGTGAGGATCCCATGGATCAGTGCATCATATCATTCTTCAGTCATCTTGTGGCTAAAAATTATTTTGAATTTTTTATTTAAAAATGAACACAAACAAATACTTAACGAAAGTTGACTGCACAATATACGATGAACGACTAGGATGAATTGATCCCCAAAATCCTCACAAAGAGGATCCGGAGATAATCCTCATCCCTTTTCCTTTTAAGTGGTTTGGAGGATTTGCGTATTGAGCTCACTGCCTCCTAACAATCATAGGATGAACAGATCTAAATGAAAAACAGGTGGATCACAGTTTAGTTGAGAAAACAGACAGAAAACTTTGGAGCGAAAATTCTACAATGCATCAATGGGTTGCATATACATTGTGATGTGAGATCATTTAGACCATAAATATAACGGTCCGATTTAAAACATTCAAATCGAGCCCCGCATTTGAACGTATACATCGATATGAAGCGGAAAAACTTGTTTTGAGGACCCAAAGAGAGACCGAATTAGTAAACCACAACAATGTGAAGTAGGACGAATCTACACCGGCACTGAGTGCAGAACTGGTTTTCATTGTAATCTATATACATTTTCTGAAAGGATAGGACCCTCAATATGATTCTAGGGCACATCACCAAATATCAAAAACACAAAGAGGACACTGCAGTCTGCCACAGGTAGTTCGGTACATGTTTTAACACAATTATCGACTCTATAAGTTTCCGATAAAATTCAACCTTCACTATGCTCTGTAGGCCCAACCATGCTCTTGTAAATATGCTTGAACTGCTTCTTTTATGGCAAAGTTTGATATTAGCTCTGATTGATCAAGCGGCTCTCGAGTGATTGGATCGAAATTGCCAACCTGGTATATAGTGCCAAAAAAAGGCCCGAGATCAATGTGATTATATACACCAGTGCAGAGAAGGCATTTGTATTAGTAGATGAAATATGACAACATATACCTTCTCAAGATGGTGAAGGATCACTGATCTCTCATATGTAGCCCCACTTGGAGTAATCACAGGATCACGAAATATGTCAAGCGTGATTTTGCAACATAGGTAATCCGGCACCTGAAGTTTTTTTAACAATGTCACAACAAAAGTAACTGAGAATGGAAGACAAAGAAAACCAAAACCATGCACTGACCTCACTAGGCGTGTCAGCTTCTGCAGCTTTCTCGAACACTCTTCCTAACGCCTCTAACTGTTTCTTTTGACAAGAGTCATGTTTCTTTTTGAGAGCAGTCTCACAAGCTTCTCTGAGACATGAAACAAGTTTTATGAACCAGCTCCCTTTAAACGAACATCAACAGTTTTTCAATATTGAAAACATTTTCAGACATCATACGCCTGAACCCAAGGAAGACATACTTCAAATTTTGCAATTCCCATGAACGTTTGCTCGATGTCTCCTCCCACTCCATGTACTTTGCTTTCGAAAGCTCCTGCCAGATCTCCTCTACCATATAATCATTCAGATTGGCACCCCTCCCAAGATCCAAAGCCTGTACAGGAAGTTCAAACAAACTTCAGTAGAATTCAAATATTTTATCCACGTCGTAAGCAACTATATCCAACAAACAGGTTTTAAAAGCAGTATGAACACTATGAAATAATAGTTTGAAAGGACTATGAAATAATAAAAGTATTATGATCAAATCAGGCAGGATATTATACAGTATTAGTGCCATTTGACTGCTTAAGCTTCTGTGATACACCTGATTTCCCCACTGTTTTCAAATTACATCATATACAAGCATGTCGAGCAAGGCCTTCTAAGCAAGTGGTGAATATCAATTGCATCATTGTGATGCAACTATAATACAGCCTCTCATAACCATCTTTGTTCTATGAGATTATGCAACTTTCAAAATAAGATCAAAAAAGCCATAATCTTTCTAAAGTATCCTCAGTTGTATTTTCTTTTTCTTTTTTTTTCTGAATGGGTTATACAACTTTCATAATTTCACTAGATATAAGTAGTTTTTAGCAGAAATTTTGTGAGTTTGATTGACCTCCAATTTGTTCTTCTATCGTAATCATAAACTGAAAAGCAGCATACTAAGAGATGTTTTCTCAATGTTCATGATAAGAGAAAGCTAGACAGAAAGCACTCCTTACCCTCTCCAGTGCCTTAACTCCCTCGCCATACTCTTGCTTCTGTAGTAAAGCAAGCCCCAATATATAGTTACCCTGTCACACATAAAATTTTCAATGAACTATGCGGCAAGATGATGATTCTAGAAAAAAGGAAAATGGCCAGACGACAATGGGTTAATGTGCAAGACTCGGAGAAGTGTACAGGGAAACATACAAGATATGCAACATTACTATACAAACTTCCACCCATCCAATACTTGTTTAAAAGTGTAATGTACAGAATATACACTTGCAACCAAGCGAAAAATGACAAGAAAGCACAGGTTCTCAGAAGTCAGATCATAATCTCAAACAGAAAAGTCAAGAGCACAAAGCACATAGAAGGAACCCACTTTCAAGCTATCATCTAGGTGAAAATTCATATTATGCATCTGGGTGCCAACAAAACTGGTATTAAACGTCTTTTGCCACTTGAATGTGCTCAAATTGTATAAATAGCATCCAACTCATAAACTGATGGCTTGTTAGAAAAGGTAACAAACGGACAAAGTCCTCGTGCGTGTAATGTAGGCCAACGATTTCTGACCCGACCTCCATGCGTTAAAATGCTGACATTCAATTTATCACAATTCATCAGTGAATACAACCCCCTGCAGCACCACGACAACATCTCGAGCCGATACACAAAAGGATATATCAATATACCAAAATCTCACTCTTCCAAACATCTCACCGCTCTATTTTCATGTCACAGATAACATCGTAGAAACACATTTATAGAAAGAAAAAAAGAACAAAATCAAAACCAAAACATAAGAATTTTACCTTAACTGAGTTATGATCAAGCTGAATAGCTCTCCGAGAATCCTCTTCGACTTTCGTCCAATCACTGCATTACTCAAAACCCATTAATGAAATCCAACAAACAAAAAGGAAAACGAAAATTGAAACTAGAGAGAGGGGGTGATCATACATACTTACGCTTGAGATGGCACAGAGCGCGATTCGTAAAATAAACAGGAACATTAGGGCACAGAGTGATTGCCTTCAAAACCCAAATGCCAAAAAACAACACCACAAAATCATCAATCACAAAGATCAAACCTTTACCATTTAAATTTTCCACACAGGCAAAGTACACGAGGGCAACGAATTGCAGAAACAAAACAACAATACCTCAGTATACGCATCGATGGCGGCCGCGAATCGCTCTTTCTTGAAGTAGGTGTTGCCGTCCTTCTTGAGTTTCTCCGCCGTCGACGATGCGGGACTCGGCGCCATATCCGTCTTCTGCTTCCTTTCCCCAAATTGATTGTTTCCTATGGCGTTTTCTGCGGATGCGGGCGTCCAAAAATCGATGTTTAAGCGGTGGAGAGAGGAGGAGTAGGAGGTGGTGGGCGAAAGCGAAAGGGTGAGGGAAATAAAAAGGAAAGCGCGAAATGGAGGAGACGAAGACGAAGAGAGAGGCAAAGGCAAACCCTCAAAGGGGAGTACGTTTCCCACTGGGGGGGTTTGAGAATTGAGAGGACAAAGACTTGCGACATTTTTTTTTTTTTTTTAAGAATAATGTTGAAAAGATTAAATTTTAAAATAAAATTTGTAAATTAAATGATATGTTATTAATAGAAATGAATATGTTTATCAACGTTTAAGTAATACACTAATCATCAACTTTCATATCTTTTAGTTTTCAAAATTTTGTCAACAAATGTAATATTCCTAGCATCACTTTTTTTAATTCTAGTTATATTGATTTTGTATATTACATTTGTAAATTTTGTGATATGTCACTATTAAAAAATAAATACATTAATTAATATTTAAGTAATAATTTAATGAAATACATTAGCGCTATAATAATATAATTTTAAGCATCTCACAAGTATATTATAAAAAAATTTAAATGCAAAAGTGAAAACTTTAGGCTGACAATAGTAATTTCCTCCCAAAATATGGTTTAAACTTTAAACGGATTATTGAACTAGCAATTACACTAACATTAGAATATTGACTTTTGGATTTGGGCCTTCCCCTGTAAGTTTCAATTTTAATTGGAAGTTGTCCCTTTTTGTTAATTTTGATTATTTATTTATTTAATCTATTTTTCATAGGTGACTTTTACTGTTTTTTTTTAATTTTTTGATTGAAAACAATATTATCTACACTAAGAAGAAGGGAGTGGGCTTAGCCTCACAATGGACTAACAATAAGATTATTTAAATTTGCTTTTGACAAAAATCGAACCTAAGACCTCCCACTTATAATTTTAAAATTGCCATTCACAGTGTGAATGGCCAAATATGGATCCTCACCGGATACTCTTTGTGAGGATTTCGAAAATCCGTGAATCATGTCTATTCATTGTACATAGCGCTGTCAAAAATCATTTTAAATATTTTTATTTAAAATTAAATACAAACAGTACTTGATAAAAACTAATCGTATGTTATACGATAAACGAATACGATTTATCGATCTCTAGTATTCTCACCAAAAGAATCCACAAAGAATCATATTGGTGAATGGCCAATGCCTTACTCTCTCATAATTTTACCCAATTTTCAACACCCTTTGGATTATGAAAGTCGGTCAATGGGATTGATCCCAAAAGATGGGACGTCAATGGGAAATTGATTTATTGGTCATTATTCACAACATTTACTTAAAAGTCATCTCAAATTCGACTCAACTATAAAGAATATTGCTCTAATAAACTTGACTAAGTCCAACAATATTATGAATGTCATAGTTTTAATTGTGTCATTGTTGGGGCAATGTAAATGTGTCAATTGTCAAATAATACTAAAAATAAACTCTTAATCACGCAAGTTACATGCTCCTAAACAAATCTTCGTAAATATCGTTTCGTGGAAAACAAAACTACTTTGTCCCAAACCAAATTCCAACTTGGAAAGTTTTGATACTACACTTTCCTTCTATTTAGTTTTGGATAATGTTTGCATTCTTCTTTTGGGGATGAACTCATTTTCCCACTTACGAATGACGTATCGTTACCATTGAAATTTCATAATCAAAATTGTTCAATGTCTTAATTTTCATTTGAAGATCAAAAAATTCATTTGAACTAGAGATCACTTAACCATTTAAATATATCAAATAAATCAACGGTTCATCATAAATATGCTACTTGGTAGTTACACCTAGACCTGGCATTTTTCACTTGACCCGTTAACCCGACCCGATCTGATCCAACCCGTTAAAATTAGTCTTCTGGTGAGTGATAAACGGGTCGGGTTGTTAACGGGTCAACCCGTCAAATAACGGATCATTTTGGGTAAACCCACGAAACCCGTTAAGACCCGTTATTGAGGATTTTTGTGTAATTTCAATAGTCCTAATAGAAAACCCTCAGCTCCCTCACAACTCTCTCTCTCGCACCATAGCACGGCGTTGCTCTCTGAGACTGAAAGATTGCTCATCGCTATGCTCCTTCCCTTCCGACTCCACCACTCTCTCTTTGGTAAGCTCCGATTCCCTTCCACCTCTTCTTTCATTTCGATTACTTTTCGTTGTTTTTACTTGAGCTTGATTTTAGGTGGTTTCTTCAAAACAACTTCGAATTAATTCAGAATTAGTTGATTTGTGTTTGATAATTTCAACTGCGATTGTGCTTTGGATAATGGGTTTTGCTTTTTGTTCATGGGTTTTGTGCTTTGGATAATTTCAACTGCGATTAGGTCTCTGCATTATGTCTAAAAAATCGCAGGACATAGGATGCTGTTATTTTTGGATTTTGGCAGACTCAAGCTCAAGGAAATCTTCGATGATGCTCACAAACGGGGCTGTAATTTTTTTTTATTTGAAAAGATTCGATAGCTTTCATTCATGGGAAATCAAATACATTGCATGCTGTAATTGATTTGGATGAAATGTAAAACTTTAAAAAAAATAAAAGATAAAAAAAGGTTAACAGGTTAACAGGTTGAAACAAGTCGGGTTCAACCAGACCTAAACCCAGTAAACCCGACCCGTTTACATGTTTACTTACACCGTTAATTTATTTGATACATTTAGGTAACTAAACGATTTCTTATTCAAATGATTTTTTTGTATGGATGATCTTCAAATGAAGATTAAGAGATTATATCGTTCTTATAATGAAAATCCTATGGTAAAGATGCGTCGCAAATGGGGGAATGAGCTCGTCCATCCAAGGGGGAAGTATTATCCTTTAATTCTACCTTTCAACTTCCAATGAGTAAAAGAAAGGGAAACACATGTAGTTTATGGTTTAATTGGAAGGCCAACAAGGGTGGATTGAGTTAGTAATGATATTTTCTTTGCTAGACCAAGACCTAAGTTCGAGTTTCATTGCCGGCAATTCTTCTTGGTGGGCGGTCTGTAAAAAACTAAAGAAGAGGGCTATGGCGCCTTCTGTGAGTTATCAAAAAGGTTGTGGTATGCCCTGATCCTAGAATGAAGAAGGATCCCTCCCCCAACTTTTTGTTACACAAAAAAAGAAGATATATTTGGCGAGACGCCCTAAAATAATATAGAGTAGGATCAATTAACTCTTTTTAATCCATTGTTTAAATTCAGTATCTTCTAAAAAAAACGTATTCTTTCATAGGAATGAAAATATCGCTTATCTAACAAGTAGTACTACACTATAGTGGTATTTATCTTCACTTGTAAGTAAGATGTCTCATATCCAACTCACATAGATGACAATGACGTATTATATTTGTGTTGAGTTCAATACCTTATTGTTTGTATAAAAGAAAATATCACCAACAAAAAAATATCGCGTCTCTACTTACTCGACTATACACAAAAATCTCAACTCCCTAAAACCTTGTTTGTATTAAGGAATAATTCATGCAAGTAAAACACAATTTAATGCATACTAATAGACAAACCACAATGTTAATGCACAAGAAATTGGATTGGAACTTGGAAATACAGACCAGGCAAATGTTAGATTGAAGTTAGGGGACATATATTGAGTGACGTAGAAGCAAGTTTCACAAGAGGAAGGATTTAAGTTTGCCGTATCATTATGCAACGCTAATTGCTAATTAATTGAGATTACGCTTTTGTTTCCTGATTTTTACGCGTGATGCATACTCCACATACTAAACGTTTAGAAGAACTAAAGTATGTATATTGCACATAATTGTACAGTGAAAATTACGTCGTGATCGGATGAAATATGCACCTAGTTTTCGGTAAGACCAGATCCTTCACCTTTGCTGTTCTTGGAGTTTTCTGATAACGACAGTTGCTCTCGAACACGATCTGCAAGTCGAGATGCTTCCCGATCTAAGTTCAGGGGCCGCCTCCGCAAACCCTACGGAGTTCATGTATGCATATATCAAGCTTATATCCTCAAGACTCTACAACTTTCACATATAAGGAGGCAAAAATGTGAATGGTACATACCTCAGAAGCCCAGAGGCTATCAAGGGCCTTGCGCGGTATTATGTGAATATGAGTCTGAAATTGCCATGTTACATAGCAAGATTAGCAAAAGCTTATCACGTTCCTCAAGTTAAACAACGGGATCGGATGAAATATGCATCTAGTTCGCCTTGCTCAGTCGCAATGCGATTTACAGATTTTCAATGGAGGATGCATCGTTTCAATTGTATCTGCTGCTATGAAGTATAAGCTTAACCAAAAGAAAATCAAAAGGGAAATTACGACGACTCACATGAAATATAACTTGGCCTGCAGCTGTACCGTTGTTAACCAACAAGCTGAACGAATCTGCGTTAAGTGTGTAAAATAGTAAAGCTTAGGTAGGTATGACCGAATATATGCAATTGAAAACAAGGATGTCAATGAAAATATCATTGAAGTATAAGGGCCATTTCAGCACATCCTAATTGCTAATTGAGTACTTAACCTGAGAACAAAAAGAAGATACAATAGGGGGACACCGGAAAATGAATTCGAACACGTACCAGAACCAGTGGCTTTCATGATTGCGCTGCTGATAAAGGGCACTTTTGAACACATTGCAGCTACCACCTGCAGACTCATGAAACATTACAACGTTACACAACAAATAAAGAAGCGCACGCATAATATTTGCAGAGAAATTACAGTATAACCAAGCAACTTGTCGGAGATACGTAGAGAAAATTACAGTCCAACCAATTAATAATGTGCTCACCACTCTTCTACCACTTCTATCTTTTACACATGCTCAATGTTGCCATATACGCATCGAGAAATTCATCCCATCATTTCATCTAATGCATAACTTATGAAGGTGAGACGTACTTACATCCGGAGGTGTGGCTTTCAACGAAGAAAAATGCGATTTGGGGATAACCAGAGAATGCCTGCGCGAGCAAAAGTACGGAACTTTAGCAAGTGGAAACGAAAACATGGTTAAAAGAAGTTCATATAAAGATGATATAGTTGCATTCTTTCTTTCTTACTTTTATGCACTGTTTACTTACAATACATAGGAAACGTCGGCAAAATTGACACAAACACTTGCATTTCTACTGTACAGAATTAAAAGCATCCATTAATGTTGCCCTGCTGATCTATAAATGGTAGAGAAACGCTAATGAAACTCTAAAAGTGTGACTCACTATGGACTCTCCGTCACCTTATGTTTTTGACACAATGTTTTGTGATATTGAAATGGAAATTATGCCAAAAACATGAGGCCGCAGCAACCGTACACAAAAATTATGCTAAAAACATGAGGTCGTAGAGACCGTACATCCAAATTCGAATCCAACTCCTTGTAAATTAAAGCAATTTAGAATATCGTCTTGCAAAACAAATTGAATGAACTCAGTCAAATTTACCACAACAGCACAAACAAAAAGAGAAAAGTTAGAAATTGAGAAAAATAATAATTGAAAAATTAAATATTGGATTAATGATACCTTACCCACTACTCAGAGGATTCGTATCCAATATGCACAAGCAAACATCATCTTCGTAGAGCTGCAAAGTACAGAATTTCACAAATAATTAAATGGAATATTCATAAATAACTAAATAAAATGCAGTTTAACTAGAAAAATAGAAACCTTGAAAGCGGGTGACTCGCCGCGAATAATTTTACAGAAAACGCAGCCGTTTTGGCTATTCCCCTCGTCGGAGCCACTGGGCCACTGCTTACTGTTCAAACAGGAATGGCAATTGGACCTAGAAACGGGAGCTAATCGGGTCGTACCCGGAACCAAACCGGGTCGGATATGGGAGCAGATAATGGCGAGCCTTCGGGCCTCCATTTTTCAAGCAGAAGCAGTGCTAGTTGCGCTCTCCATGTTTGCAAAACGTTTCGGAAACTTGGGAAGACAGAGAAACCAAAATAATTATATATTTTTTAAAATAAATTAAAGGGGTCATGTTTGTTGCTTATCCTAAGAGATAACGTTACCGTCCTTAACATTTGCATAAAATCGGTTGAAACAAGGGTGATATTTTCAAATTCAAGCTAATAAAATTGAAATTAGTTTCTTTTATGAGAAATTGTATTTTAGTTTTTGTTTTTCTATTGGGAAATTGTAATTTAACTAGATTTTTTATACAATAATATTCTAGTCTACAGGAGATTTGGCTAGATTATACAATAGAGAGCGATTCATTGCAGAAGAGCATGAACAGGCGTTACAGTCCATGAGAATCATACTCGGTCATGGTTCGAGGAACCATGAGACGTGATTGGCTTGTTGGAGGATTCTTTGTGGGTAGGGAGGTAGCTTTGGTTGCGATTGTTGTAACTCCTATTGAATAAAATTCCATCGTTGTTCCAAAACAAAAACATCAAATTTAACATAAATATACTAGGTTTTCGTAATTCATGTGAGTCAAACCTGATATTTTTGAAGAGTACTACCAAAAAATTGTAATATTACTTGGATCAAGCATGTAAAATCATGTGTATTTAAAATTTTGGATAAATAGAAAGACCAAAAAAATAAAAATAAACTTTAGGTTGGGTTTAGTACCGAGGATTGGTACGAGTGTCCATATTTTGAACCGGAAAAGACCCATAAGAGATGGATCCCAAAGTTTGAAGCTCAAACCAAACCTAAGACCGAAGCAGAAAACCCCATCAGCAACCAAAATTCAATTCACCCATTTATTATGTGGTATGTTTGATTCAAACACACCTTCAACTTTCAACTGCATTCCCCCCTTGAGGTCATTGGCCATACAAAAACTTCCATCTCATTGCATCATAACATTGTTACGTGTCATGGTATAATATATTTTAGTTCTGAAATATCTTATAAATTTGAATTTTTTATCATTAAACCATCGATTAAAGACCTAATGATCAAGATATAAATGTCAAACACATCATCAACAATATATATGATACAAATTATTGTAAAATTTTTATTTACGAATAATATTTTTGACTTTTAAATTTGTTATTTGTCTCATCAATCGTCATATCATATCATGAAGTAATTCAACATCACATGATAATTTTTGCAAATTATGCTATATGACCTAACGTCTCCCAACTAACTAATGAGAACTTTCGTTTTAACATATGGTAATAGTCAAGTAAGCGCAATAAATAAAATTTTCCGCTCACCGCCGGATTTGAACCAAAACATTCCCTGCACCGCACGCCTTCTAGAATCAAGTGATCTCACGTAAGCACGTGAATCACATTCACTTTCCCCCACTTTCTTGCGTTCCAAATTAACAGCCAAATTAAAAATTAAAAATCTCCCAAACAATGGAATCAGTGATGACGTCGTTCTCTGCAACAACCAGGCAAATTGCCTGCGCTTCGAACCAACGCGTGATCACGCCACGTCAGCACACACCAGCCACGTGGCTGCACCAGTCACACCAATCATGGAAGAGGATCCAGTCTGAATCTATCCCATCAAAGGCATATGATCAAGTGATTCGGACCGTTCAATTTTGATCCAACGGTTACAAATAAAAGGTCTTCTAAAAATTATAATAATTTTAACCGTTAGATCAAAATTCAACGATCCAGATCACTTGATCTTGAAGTTTTGATGGAAGAGATCCAGACTGGATCCTCTTCCACCAACAACACCGTGCAATGTGTGGGCCCCCACCTTTTGAATTGAACCCTTCCTCACTAAGACTTGTATAAATTTCGGTATCTGGCTCTCTGCACAGCTGCCAACGGAAACAGAGATTTCAACCATGGACGATCAGAACGACGGCGTCGTGGTTCCCAGCTTGGATTTCCGGCGGCTGTGTGTGATCTCGGCGCTGGGCAGAGGAGCCAAGGGCGTGGTATTTCTGGTGAAGGGAGAAGAAACGGCGGCGGAGGGGCTAATGGCCTTGAAGGTAATTTCCAAGGACTTAATCGAGCGGAGGAGTAAAGACGCGAAGAGCGACGGCAGCGAGTACCGTAGAGTCAGCTTCGAGCAGCAAGTAATACGTCGTTTCGAGCATCCACTCTTGCCTAAGTTGCATGGCGTTCTCGACACTGAGAAGTTCGTCGGCTACGCCATTGAATACTGCCCCGGCCGCGATCTCAATTGCCTCAGGAAACGACAGAGCGAGCGGATGTTCTCCGATGAGGTTATCAGGTAAAGTAATGTCAAAATATCTCAAGTTAATGTATTAAATTCTGTTTGGCTTCCGAGAAAATTAAAATTCTGATTTTCCTTTTGGTTTTTCAGATTTTACGCGGCGGAATTGGTTCTGGTATTGGATTATCTGCACGGATTAGGAGTTGTTTACAGAGATTTGAAGCCGGAGAACATCATGATCCAAGAAAATGGTCACATTATGCTCGTGGATTTCGATCTCTCCACCGAGCTCTCCCCCCTAAAGACTCCTCCTCGATCAGCTCAATCGACTCCGATGAAATCAAAATCCGTAGCTAAATCGAACCCGGTGCACAAGAAGCGGCGCTCGCCGTTCCACCGCTTCTGTAACTCTGGGATTTCGCCCGACGACACGGTGGCGCAGCCTGAAGCTGGCGTCGTCAACTTGGAAAACTCCGAGAAGTCCAACTCGTTCGTTGGGACGGAGGAGTACGTGGCGCCCGAAATCGTATCGGGCCAGGGACACGATTTCGGCGTCGATTGGTGGTCCCTCGGGATTCTTCTTTACGAAATGCTGTATGGTACCACGCCGTTCAAGGGGATCAACAGAAAAGAGACGTTTTATCGGATACTGACAAAAGCTCCAGAACTGACAGGCGAAACGACGGCGTTGAGGGACCTGATAAAAAAATTGCTTGAGAAGGATCCGAAGCAGAGAATCGGGTCGGGGGAAATCAAGGGCCACGATTTCTTTAAGGGGGTGGAGTGGGATTCGGTTTTGCGACTGTCGAGGCCGCCGTACATCCCCGATATTGCCACGGCGGAGGGTACGGAGGGAATAAAAAAGAAAATCGATGTGGAGACGGTGGTGAAGGGAATATTCGGAGGAGAAGGTGGTGGTGGTGGTGGTGGTGGTGGGGAGGAGGAGAATAAAGGCGAGGATAATGAGGAGAATAACAAAAATAGGAATAATAATAATGAGAAGGGTGGGAATGAGGAGGAGAAAGTAAATAAAAGGGTGTGGGCGGAAGGACTGAATAACAATCCTACCCAAGGTGGTGATGCATTTTTGGGTTTCTAACTATTCTTTTATTTCTTTATTTCTGTATTTAGATACTGTAATTAAGTTATTAAACCTTAATTTAACGAATAATTATTTGATATTTTCCCAGTTGTATTTGTTTTGGTACAATGGGTTTTTGGTAGGATATCAAAGACTCAAAAAAGTACTACAAAAATATACTAATCATGTCACTTAGTACAGTAGTCTAGTGATATTTTATTTTCAGAGAATTCCTAGATTTGATTCTAGAGTGAATTTGAACTAGCTTAGGCCACCATCACCCTATAGATAATATTTTTTGTTCAAAAAATAAAAAGACTAACCATAAGATAAGGCCTTATCGGACAACTGTAAGCTTAGGCCTCATAGAGTACTTGGAAGATATATAGCCGAGTATTGCAAAAAGTAGTCTAACCATAAGCTTAGGCCTCTCGTAGTGATAAAGTAATTGGAAGTATATTACAAAAGTAGTCTTAACCATAAGATTAAGCCTTATAAGATAAACGGTTCTCGTAATGATAAAGTAATCGAAAGATAAGAACAAATTAAAAGTAATTTTTCTTTAAAATGTCCGTTAAATGCAGGTAAGAACTTATTGTGCACCTTCTTGTTCCTCGTATCTGCACTCTCTATATAATTTATATAGGGTTTTTGAATTTTAATCCTTCAAGAAGATTATAATTTTAAAAAAAAACTGGTGTTAGATTGATTATTGATTTTAGAGCCTTAATGTGTACTTAATTCAAATTCATATTATATTTTTGTTTTTATATTTAATAGAATTTTTTTTGTCAAAGTTTTTATATTTAATAGATAACTTATTTAATGTTATTACATTAAATTTTAAATTTATTATTATACAATTTTATTTAACTTTCTTCAATTAGTGTACCTAAACGTCCATATCATAATATATTTTACTAAATTAGTGTACCGAAATGCCTGTACTTAAATATATTATAGTGAATTAGTGACAGATAAGAAAATATATAAAAACATAAGTGTACCAAAATTCCGTACCAAACTATATGATAGTAAACTAGTGTCCCGAAATGTTGGTACCTAAATATATTATACTAAACTAGTGTATTGAAATGTCCGTACCTAAACATATTATACTAACCCATTGTATTGAAATGTTCGTACCTAAATATATTTTTATGAATTAGTGGCAGATAAGAAAATATGCAAAAACATAAGTGTACCGAAAAATCTCTACGAAAATATTTTCTTATATAAGATGCCTACCATAATGAGAATTAAAATTTATAATATTTTCATAAAATTTAAATTCATAAAATTATAAATAAAAAAAGAAACATTGAATACATATGCTGGCATTAAATAGAGTCTAGAGATTAAAATTAATTTTTAATCTTGTATAAGACATTTTTCTAAACTTCATCTTATTTAAGGATTAAAATCTAGTTTTCTAATTTATATAAGGTTTGACTCAGCAGGAATCTCACTCAGATAACATTGAGCTCAATGAGGTTTGATTCATTTTTTAATCTTCCTGCTGCGTTTGACAGACCTTTAAAATATTGAAGTAACCAACTGCTGCAATAATGAAAGTTTGATGAGATAGGAAGAGACTATTGTTTTGGTATAGGAATCTTTGGATGACCCGAAATCAAAGATGCCGCAGTTTTTGTTTATAATAATCTTTGTTTTTGAAAGACCGCAGCCCAACATATGGTTGTAAACTGTTCAAACGAAAAATAAACACGCTTAACTCTGAGATATGAAATTATAATCTTGCTACCTTTTCTTTATCATATAAGACCTGATCAGACTGCAAAGACACACAATTGCTTTGTCAACTTGGTTCAAAGTTTTGAGAGGATCAGAAGATCATCATCTGCTTGAGTACATGATTCGATTACCACGGAACTATCTTCTGATTATCTTATTACAACGAGAATCGTTTATCCTATTAGGTCACAAGATTACTATGAGTTTCATAACACTACTCGTGCGCGATACGGCAAGATCCACTTTTGTCCCAACAAGATAATCTTAGGATTTAACAATCTCACATATTGGATAATGTGGTGCCAAATGCCTTCACATGTTGGGTACACGTTTGATTGAGTCAAAATTTCTAGAGCTTAAAGTAATAATTTAGCATTAAAATCAAATTTCTAGTTCAATAATCTTAAAATTATTTTCTTTTCTATTTCTCAACACCCTTACAAACTCATGATGCCAATAAAAAAATTTAAAATCTAATAATTTTAATCAATAATTCTCAGCAGTTTATTTGTTATTTACTTTTGGATCATTTAAAAAAAAAAAGTCTAGATCACAAAATTAGTCTCGTATTTTGTTGTGAGCACATTATTAATAGGAGACTGAATAAATTTCACTCTCACTTCATAATGTTTCTTTTGGGTCACTTTTTCTTCCAAAAATCTCTCTCTTTTTGTAATTTTTATTTTCTAATTAAACGTGCATATCTGTCACTGAGTATTGCTATCTAGGTTCAACTCCTTGTAAACGATATGTTCTATACTAAATTATTATCGTTATTCTATTTTTATTGTGAGTGACTTAACCTAAATACCTCATACCTTAATGTAAACATACAACAACAACAAGTGGTCCAATAAAAAAGCAATAGAATTCCAAATCAAATATGCTCCCTGATCTTGGGTGATCGAGACACGAAACTGGCAATACTAATTTTGAAGTTGCACCATAAACTATACCAGAAACAAAAACAGGAAAGAAAAAAACAAATATATATATATATATATATATCATTATATAAATATTAAAAAAATTTCAAGATTTAGAAGCAACTTTAGTATTGATACGAAGAAATTACAACAGAAATAAAAACAGGAAATTGCAGAGATGATGAGGCACGTGTTATTAAATAAGCATGTTCTTGAATGATAATTTAAGATGCATCTACTATAAAGCATCACTGAATTAGGAGTTTGCAAATAAAATCCAAATCCAAAAATATGTAACAAAAACTCAATTTTATCATCAAACTTTCGATCGCAGCTGGCTTGCATGCAATAATGCATGCAGTGCATGTGCATATCCAATATTTAGGTAATGGACCACTCTTTTTTCCATTAATTGCAATATTGCACCTATAAATACGTATAATTATTGGTTGCGCTACTTATCTACCATGCATGGTGAGCAAAATTCGTGTATTTTCCACCAGTAATCCCCAACCGATAAAATTAAATATCGATATCCTTCAATAGCACAAGGGTCATACATTTATGGCTTCAGCCCCTCAATTTGGTGAAATTCACATATATATGTAGGTTCTTGGCCACACGATCCTTCAAACTGGAAGGGAAGGACATGAATGTGATCCTTGTGATCGTGACAAGAGATGGGTTCGATTTGGAAGTTTAGGGTTTTTAGGTTAAGAAAATTTGACAGTTTTGGTTGCAGAAGAAACATGCAATGAAAGTACGTAGTAATGAGCCGCACCGCTAGCTACCTAGGTAAGAAGTATATTTACGTGCTTTGAGCGTCTTTCGATTCCAGGGCTGGCTGTTTGGTGACTTTCTGTTCATATTTTGTGTTTGGTTTTTTCTAATTAAAGGATGTGGACATCGACGGAGTCAATGAAGACTCACTGGAGGTAGATGTCCCCACTCAAATAATTCGTTTGTTTAGTTGCAGACTACAATTATATAATATACCTGGATTATCTTTAAAGAAAATATATGTATCTAATATCCAACATACATTTATTCTACTTATACTCCATATCAAATATTATATGAGCAATAGTGCTCTTGTTCTATCATTCAAACCGAAAAAACCCTCTCCCTCCTATCTGTAAGAATTGCAGAAACCTTGGAGATGAAGAAAGAAGAAAGAACGCAGAATCAAGAGGAAGAAATGAGAGAGAGAGTTAGGAGGGAAACAGTTTTTGAGAGAAGAAAAGACTTGTTATTTTTCACTTTCTTTCTCTGTTTACAAAGAGGACTTTTATATGTTGTTACAACATCTTCTTACTAAGCTTTCTACTAACTGTTATCTAACAACCTTATAACAAACTATGTAGGATCTTATAACAATCTATGTAGGATCTTGACAAGTGTCATTCATTTCTGCCATAGATTTATCTTTCACTTGGAGGTTGGTATTTCTTGCTTCACTATTCTTACATCCCCCCTCAAGCTCATGCGAGTAGGAGCTGAGCATGAGATTGCCACAATGCAACTGAAACAAAGGCGCAGACAGACCCTTAGTCAAAATGTCAGCAGACTGGTCAGATGAAGAAACATGTTGAATTTGGAGATCTCCTCGTGTGACACGTTCTCGCACAAAGTGGTAATCGATTTCAATGTGTTTCGACTTAGCATGAAACACTGGATTGGTGGATAGGGCGATGGCAGAAACATTGTCACAATGTATCATGGGAGGCAAGGACAACGGAATGTGAAGATCACAGAACAGTTGGCGTATCCAGGCAAGCTCAGCTGCAGTGATGGCAAGAGCTCGATATTCAGCCTCTGTGGAAGATCGAGAAACAGTATGTTGCTTCTTTGAAGCCCACGAAATTGGATTGGAACCAAGGAAGACAATGAAACCGGATGTAGATCTGCGATCGTTGGGGTCGCCAGCCCAATCTGCATCACTATAGGATTGCAGATATAGTGGTCCTGATTGAAATCGAATCCCATACCCCGAGGTGCCTTTGAGATATCGAATTATGCGTTTGACTGCAACTACATGGGATTCCATAGGATTGTGCATAAACTGGCAGGCTTGATTAACTGAGAAGGCGATATCAGGTCGAGTAAACGTGAGGTATTGCAGTGCACCTACAATACTTCGATACTGGTCAGGACTGTGATAAGGTTTCCCATCATCCTTGAGCAGTCTGTGATAGGGAAGACAAGGAGTAGCACAAGGTTTACAGTCTTGAAGATCAACCTTGTCAATCAACTCCTTGGTGTATTTGGATTGAGAAACAAAGAGACCATCAGAAGTGTATTGAATCTGAAGTCCTAAGAAATAGTGCAGATTGCCCAAATCCTTCATATCAAATTCCATAGTGAGAGCTGAAATAACATTGGACACCAACCTGGAGTCACTTCCTGTGAGAATCACATC